TTCTTTGCAAGTCACTCTTTTCCCTCTGTCTCAAAATTTTACGTGCATTTATTCTACAAGTTTTTTTTTCATTTTTACAACAAAGAAAGATAAGTTTTTTTAAGGAATCAGTAATAGGGGAGGAAGTTGTTGGTTTTCTCATCTTATCATTTATAATTGGGGAAGGGTAAGAGCTACTGGGTTCCTCCTAAGCTTAAAAATAATATTTATGTAAGCCACTGAGGCAAAACAATTGCTTCTTAGATATTACCATAGCTTGTCAGTTGAAATTCTTTTTCATACATACTTTTAATAATACAATAATTTTATAATACTATTTTTTTTGTGGGGAGGAGGCTAACATTCGTTTGCCCACACTGAAAAGCTCAATGTCATCTTTAGTAACATACTCCCTTGTGTTCAATGTCACCAGAATACCTGTTAAAACCCCATCATTACCCACTTAGAACACTAGCCTGGAACTGTTCAACTCATTACGTCAGGCTCACCCTTTTAACTATGCAATTAGGACTAACCTTAATATTTTCTTCCGAATGCTAAAGATAATGATCGTCCTTCTTAGCCTGAAGTATGGCCTCCTTTAAAGCATAGCTCCAACAATGTTGTCTGGAGTGGTGTTGATGCCGATCTCAGAGATCAAGGAGACTCGGCGGACATGCCACCTGTCACAAAAAAGGTGTGCTCGCCCGTGTCGCCATTCCGGAACAGTACAGACAGGCTGAGCTGGCGTCCATTCCCATTTTGTACAGCTTAGGCCCGGATAAGCCCTCGTGACCCGTTTAAACCTGGATCACAAAATACACGACCTGACTATCATTTCTGTTAGTATGTTTTAATAGTCTACTACGAATAATAATAATACTTATAATAATTTTAAAACCTATTTGGTTTTATGATAGATTCCTACTTACCTATTCATTAGGTGTTGAGTATTAGGTCTACGTATCGTGAGTGAACCATTCTTTAACAAGCAATAAAACTGAAAAAAAAATGGAAGGGAATTGAAGGCAAACACCTAGAGCAAATACAAATTCGCTGCATCAATCACTCATTTGATACTACTGGGGCGCTGAACCTTGGCTACTATCGTGGTACTGACGTGGCAGTTCTGGAGATTAAACTTCTAAGTTTCCTAATGTTCTAGAGGTTAAAGGGAAATCAATGAATGTTTCTCTTCTATTATTAAATTTAAATATCAAATGTGAGTAAATACAGGTTTTGAAGAGGTATTTATAAAATAGTTTTTGTTTTATATTGTGTGTAAGTGAATCTTCCCCACAGTTCACTTTACATAATATTTACTATTTTGTTAGTCTGTAGTTAGTATAGTATATGCTTAATAGTTCACAATGTAGCACTTTCGTGCATGTTTCTATGAACCTACGTTAAATATTGTTTTCGACACACTACTCTGTTTTAAGGACTTTTCATGGAAGGATTTAAACCGAGAACAGCTGTTTACCACCTGCTTAACCAAATGGAATTTAATTACGTGATGTATTGTAATGATCTTTTGCCGGACACCAGCTGATTATAATTGGCAATGAGCGGTTATAAACGAAATCATAACCTCTCTTAGAAGTTGTAAATAGTGATGGTCATATCCTTTAGTTGGTGAGAATATACAACGGATTTGTACATTTTCACTCGTATTTGTCACTCGTCCAAAATGTGTTAACTGTAGGCCTACTCGCTACTCGTATGCTAACACCGCAGTCGACTTCGTCTCGTTTGGGAACAACCATACTCGTCTGGTAAACACCTATTTTTCGCACTAGTGACGTTTACACATCTAAACAAAATAATAAAGATATTTTTAATAATCAAGAGTGTATTTAAAAATCAGATGGATTATTACGATTTAAACTTATATTACTACAAATTGTACGAATTTGAAGCTGCTTCTATATTCAGAACGGATTTCAGTGTGGCAATTTAGAGATTTTTTTGTATTAGGTTCAGAGCATTTGTAAATCATTAACAGATTTATAGTCTTGATATAAAAATAGAAATTTTGTATTGTAATCTGTGATTTATTTATTTATACACATGAAATAGCAAAATAAAAACATATAACAATATTTATTCAATTCTCTTATGCAACGAACCACTCAAGGAATCAACTGGAACTAAAAAAAAGATTTAGATTTATTTTGGTATTTATGTGGCAGTAAAGAAGGCGTGTTATTGACTCTAGAGGGGGATCAGGAAGTAAATTTCTGTATCCGCTTGAGTGGAAAATATTGCCCTTAGGGTGAGCCAAGAATCAATATCCAGTTTATGAAGGCTTCTTCACACTATCATGTCGTCATACATTTATATTTTGAGATATAATGTTTTTCAGGTCTATATCGTCATTATCTTACCATAGAGGATGTATATTTCCTCTACCAACATTGAGTTTATACATTAAATAAATAAATAAAAATTAGTGACAACCGTTTTTGAGACTAAACCATTTAAATGTTATGTTTTAAAGATATTGCATTTAATTTATAGATGTGTCGTAACCAACATAAGTTTGCGAAGACCTAAGCTGTATGAAACGAAAGTTGTATTGTAGACATGTAACATAACATGTAAACAAGCTTAATGTTAGGTAATAAGAAGATTTTTGGAGATCTTTTGAAAGCTTGTGAGCTTTTTAATTTAAAGATGAGAGGCTTTTACCGTATGAACACGAAGATTTGGGTCAACCACCCTAAACTTGTTAAAAGAGTGGCTAAACTAATATTTATTTAAGCCATTTAAATGACATAATATATTATTTAAAGTTGTGGTCACTCTTTTTCAGATCAGAGCTGGTCAAGGTTGGTGCAATCCTAAAATCCTTTAAAAACTACCAAAATTACAACAGTAAAAAAACCATACAAAATCCTTATAAAAACTATACAATTTACAACATTTTTGAAATTACAAAACAGACAACGCATAACACAACCATTTGTTTTTCACCAACCAATAATAAAATTTTGTCATTCGTGCAAGTAACAACATTTTTCATACATGGTGAGCAATTTTACAAATTGGAATTGAATTACTTTTGTATCACGATCCAATTATTTAGCGTTGCCCTCGGCCTAATAGACTCAATTGTCGAGCAGCGTTAAGGTTACATTGTTTTCAGTGTTGTCCACGTGGAAAGGGATAATGGGTTATTTTGTAGTTTATTTATATTGTAATTTTACTTATGGTATGGATAAAAACACACTAATAGTATTAACAATTAATAATGAACACAAATAACAAAAATAGCTTAATTTAAAATTCATTGCAATGGTGCTTCAACTATGTTTTGTTTCAAATTACTAATTTAAATCTTGGAGCTTAAAATCATTTACTTAATAATCCAGTGTAAAATATCCAATCTAGATGGATGTATGTAACCAATACTTTATTCATTGCCGTACAACGGAACGTATATAAGCAATATATTGTATAAGCCCTATTTACGAGTCACTCACACAATAAGATACAGTCAAAAAATATTTTTCTCCCTTATTTAATATTTGCATAGCTTATAATAGACAGCAGGTGCTGTAATATAAGATGAAAATAAAAAAAAAAAATTAAGCTTGGTTAGCGTGGAAGGATATTGGCAATTTAAAAGGGAGCGCTTTCAGTGATATACTCAATTAATCTAAGTTAAGATTGAATATAAAATTGGTTACTAGCTTTAACGTAGGATAGAATGTATTGTTCTATTTTCTCATAATGAGATCTAAATACCATCACGTAGCAAACCTGCAGACTAGGCGAATTTCAGTTCGTTTGTTTTGATATTTACTAAAACATTCCCACAAACAATACATAATCTCCATTTAAATACCAGTAGGCCTACCTTTTTTGCTGCTTTGGGGGAAGTAAAAAGTGTTTTTTTACCGAATAATAATATTATAGAATAAAGTAAATGGATCCCCCAAATTTGATTAACTTACATCCATAAACAAGCAAACTACAGTGATTTTCTTTTTCCCCATGAGAATAACATGGGTATCTATCTATAGGTTAAGTGCATTGTACACATAGTTGCATGAATTTGCTAAGGGTAAATTTTCATATAACAGCTAGACGCATGTCACTTCATCTTCTAAACACTACATTCCAAAAACCAACAGGCTTTAGTAGTACTTTATACTTATACTTATACTTTTCGATGAAATGGCTAACATACAAAGTAGGTATTTTAAGCCAAGTATAAATGGAGATGAGTGTAGGATGAGTGGCGCAATCTTGTAGTCTTGTTAGTGCCTAAGGGCGACAATTCATTAAACACAGCTGTTAATTAATAGCCCATACAGCCAATGGCAACTAAGGGACCTACAGTTTATAGTGGAATCCAAACCACATTTTTGCCTTGGTATATACGAATTGGCCTAATTATCAGGATAGTACTGCGGATAATCGTAGTACTCACTCGTGTGGACGTTAATCCACACCAGGGATTATTGTATCCACAGTCCATGCCTATAAATATCCACAATTCGTGACCTCCTAGTAGCTGGATTACAGGACGACGCCACCCGTCCCAGTCTAACGGGTAAATCCCAGTAAATACGGCACTGATTAAAATAAATGGAAATGAACATTGTATTTACCAACCAAAATAAAAAAAATTCTATTCAACGAAAAAGTTTCTTATTCAATTGAATGTTTTTTTTGTATAACCATAGGTCAATTAGTAATATGAAATAAAACCATTAATAGGAGCTTAGAAAAATAATTAATTAAGAAAAATACTTAATTTGGACGGTAGTGTATCTCATTATTAGTTGTACAGTAATTATGTATGTACATCACCCAGAAGCCTCATCCATTGCAAGATCACACAATATTGGTTGTTATTGAGCACACGATATTACAACAATACAAGATATTGCAACAATACACAATATTGATCTCTAAGTTACTATGTACTTTTAATTAGGCCTATATCTAATTAGATTTTTCTATCATGAGCTTTTATTTTTACTTAATGATTGTATTATTTTATGTTACAGTTTATTCTGACCCGTGAGTGCAGTGTGGAAGGATCGACGTAGTGTTAGTTGGTGAGTTACATATTTTTAATTATTTAGTTATATATGTAAACTGTTTTGATGTATTACGTACACAACCAAAACGTAATTATGATAAAGTAGTTGACAAAAGGCATACAAACTTGCTACTTTTCGTCTAGAACTCCGTGTTGTTTTTAACAAGAGTTTGATTTCGGTCTGGATTCTTATATTCCAAGATTAGTAATCACGATACTGTTTAATTCTTACCATGCTAAGCAATATGACTTATTACGCAAAATTTCATAAAAATCTTGATTGATTTTATATAAGGGAAATAAAGAAATCGTAATTAGAATCATGTAATAACAGTTAACCTATTAGAAGATAGGAAAAATACATTGAATTTTAATTTAAGCAAATTTACTGAACTAATCAAGCAATTAAAATGTGGAAGTGGAATTGACATTTCCAATTAACACTTTGGTCGTCTTTCTGAGCAGTTACATCCTTTTCTCAACTATTCGTTCTCAGCGTTATTATATTTTTAATAGTCTATATTCGTTTTTGAACACCATAAAAATTAAAAGTTTTGTAATATTATTTCGTTACTTTAACACGAGCAGACCAAACTTTAAAATTTTACTAGAATTATACATCCACTTCAATTCATCATTTAATACGTTTTACCAAGTATTATGGTTCTAAAAATTGTATTTTTAATTCTTTTTGAAGATTATTTATATTGATTCATTTATATTTTATTTATATTAATTCAGCTATGATTATATTAAGATGGTTATTTTGCCCCATAATATGATAATTTATAAATTTGGAAATTTAAAATATCGTAAATACACGAAATATTTAACTAGTCAAAGTTTTCCTTGATTATTTAGTTTAAAGTTCAAGTCATTCCAATAATAGTTTGATATAGAATTTGTCGTTTACATAAATTAGCATGTACTTCACTTTAGATATTTTTGAGGAAACACCTATTGTATTTATATTATCGATTTGATAGAAAACAGGGAAAGGGCTTGGTTATTTGATAGACAACCTCTTCAAGGGACTTACCTTGTTATGTTTGTTTTTCTGTTCTTTTTTACTTAAGTACCTCCAGAGTTATATTTGACAATTTATAAACAAGGAGTCTGCGAAATAATGAAAGTAATACTTTAAAAGGAACGTACTGAGCAGAGGTGACGGCTAGAGTCTATGCAAATTTAACCTGTTTATGAGACGAGGGATGCAAATGTTGAACAACACCTGTGAGAACCGATAACAGGGTTAAACTGAAAACATTACAATTTCATCAAAACATTTGCAATAGAGTCAGAGGTATTATGAATTCTCTTTGAATGTGTTTATAATTATTGAGTTGAAATATTTAAACAAATAATTGGGAAATAGACAGCAAATGCAACTTTTAAACTTGTATGTTTTAGTGTATTAAGCGAATAATACTATCATATACTATGAACTTCAAACTTGTATTGAAAACTAGTGTTACGCAGTAAAGTGAAGGTTTTTAAAGTGAATTTTAAACAAAATAAATTTATGTTTTCCTTTTTTTCCTTACTGGGTACTTTTATAGCTTAATAGACCGTTTTTATCAGTTGCACGATTCTATTAGAAGCTTAGTTTAAGTGCGTCACAACACATTACCAATATAGGGTAGTGTATACATTCCATCATACATTAACATAAAAACATAATTTAAGTGTTTTTTTTTCTTAAAAACTCAAATTAAAATATAAACTAAAATAAATAGTGTTCCTAAATATGTAATAGGTACCTAAGTTTTATAACCCAATGAAGAAAATATATTTTCCTACTGTTACCTAACAATATACATGTTCTCTCACTAATTTGTGAAAGCAAAGTGGCCGATTCGCTCACTGTAATTACTTTGTCTCACTCACTCCAGATTTGCAACGTGAAGGCACGAAATAGTGAGCGCGTAACATGCAGACAAGGTCGTATGCGCGCGAAATACGTTGGCAGCACTGGCTGTAAATCAGCTGGTCAGCTGTTGTACTTTTGTATCATTAAATGTCATGTCATATTAAAAGTTAACTTCTGTGTAAAAATATGTCACGTTTCTTTACCAATTTATTTGTTTTATGGTACTGTAGGAAAAAAATAATGTGCAACTCGAGTGCAAAGTGCATTTGCCTCACTCGAGAAACCATTCCTCACTCGCCTACGGCTCGTGAGTAAGTATATCTCTCTAGTGAGTCAATTGCTCTCTTTGCTCACCAGTTGCAAAAATAACTATTCTTATGAATATGTTACTATTATCCTTTTTGTGACTATTATAATATCGAATCTGGACCGAAATACTATTTTTCATTTGGCTTTTGACTAATGATGCGTTCTACCCAAATTCTAACTTTAGATGTAATAAGGCATATAGACATTTCCTTACTAAAACACTAAAACTGAAAAACGCGTCAAAAGACTCAAAACATCAAAACAAAACTTAAAAAATAATGTAAAATAAGGCAAATGTGCGTCCATTGTCCACTTATATAAATCAATGAAAATGTTTAATACAACTATATGGTGTTGTAATATAACATCACACTTCACCCTGAACAAGACACAAGACCCAGCGGATTTAGATATAATAACATGGAGCCGGGTAAAATACAGAAATATCCAGACCATCTGCCAAGGGCTGTTTTGTAGCAAGCAAAGGATTATTCGTCCTTTGACTGCAAATGCATTTTGTGTTGTATGGTTTAGAAAGTCTAGAAATAAAAAGAATAAAAATACATAAATTAAAGTAGGATATAGATAACAAAATATTTGTCTGATTAATTATGAAGAGTCTTATGTAAATCAAGAATTTTATCATGCTGTCCGTTGCAAATTATCAAATTACTAATTCTGCAAGGAATCACATAAATTGCATACCAAAATGGAAACCATATCCATTAGCCTACACCTCCATGTTTAGTCAGTAATAATAGTAATAGTAATGTATAAATAAACGTATAATACTGTATGTATAATATTTGTATAGTTCAACAATATTCTGAAACATATTAGGATTTCAGATAGACATTGTGTCAAATTGAAAAAAACAATCCCTTGCAATATTAAACGTCATATAATCCGATTTATGTCATCTTTATACCAGTGCAATGACAACCTAAATACCATTCATTCTAAGTAATATATGACAAAAATAGGGCCTACACAGAATACAAACTGTTTACCATGATGGTTAAATTAAAGTATTTTTGAAATTTGCATGGCAATCTTCCAATTTCTTGCAAAAGCGTCAAATTTAAAGTTTAAAAGTGCACACAACAATTCGACGCATATTTAATGAATAAAGTATGTGAAGTTTTGGTAATTCTGATCCAATTATGGGTCAACTTCAATTTTTCTCATATAACCTTTGATTGGTCTTTTGGTTGGTAGTAACAGGAAAATGCAAGAATGTTTTGCCAGAAAGCAAGTATTCGGAGGTTGGGTTAGGTTAGGTTGGGTTAGGTTAGTTTAGTCAGTTACTGTATTTTATGTTTCCGGCAAAAAGATTTATTGGGTTTTAAATACTGCTACATGCACCTAACCTAACCCGATCCAACCTAACCTAAACAAACTTAACCTCACCTAAAACCAAACCAAACCTAACCTAACTGATTTGTAGCGGCTGATGATGAATGGCAAAGAGGAATGACCTCTGACCTTAAAATAGTGGCCTGCTCCAAATTCTTCCTTTCAGGCAAAAAAATTCTTAATTGTTTCAGTTACTCCTAACCAACAGAACAATCAAAGAAATATAAGACAAATTGAAGGGTCTGACTTAGGGGAGGTACGAATGAGGCATTTAGTTCAAAATTCCTCCGAGAACAGCGCTGTAGTAGAGAGCACTTTGGCAATGAAGGTTTACTAATCGCAAAAATAGTTCTGTTCATAAAATAAAATTATAAATGCCTCAAATTCAACTTTATTATTTTTTAATTATAAAATTAAACTATCATAACCTAACCGAACTAACCAAACTTGCTGATAAAGAAATAATATAACAAAAGTTTAGTAATCGGAAAAATAATTCTGTTTATTAAATAAAACTAGAAATTGCTCGATTAAAATTTTATAATGACTTAATAATAAAATTAAACTGTAATAACCGAACCAAACCAACCAAACTTGCTGATAATAAAAAAATCTTGGACAAAAAGTTAACGCTACCAGCGAGATTCGAACCCGGGACCTACAGTATATCAGCCCAGCACGCTAACCATTTGACCACCGAGGCCGATGGCAAGAGATAGTTTTGTTACGATAATTGCGTTCCCTCAGCTAATAAGAAGCCCACAGCTGTCATCGTAGCCTCTTCTATACCTCCCCTGAGTAAATACCCAAATTGAAGTTGACCCATACTTGAATCAGAATTACCGAAGTGTTAAACATTCTTGGAGTGTATAAACTATGCTTGTGTGAAATTGTTTATTTTACATGACTGATCTAGTAAAAGTTTACCATTTGCTAAAAGTCCAATGATTACGACGATTATTTAAAAAATTATATACAACACATTGTTTTTACATGAAAAATATTTGTGTTTCCTGTCCAAAATGGAAGCATCATTATTCAACCTTTACTCAAGGGAAATCTTGCCTGTTAGGATTGTCTAAGCTTTCTTAGACGATCGTAAATCATTCACTTGTCAGCCTTGTGGTATGAAAATCTTCCTATAAGTAGAAATGTATTATGTCTTTACGGTTTAGGACCTTATGTTATAACCCACACAATTTACTGGGCAGGAGAAAATATTTTATCGTGTTGTTTCTCAAAGTGTGATCCGCGGACCCCTGGGGTCCGCAAAAAACATTCTTGTATTTTTTTTATCTAGACTCTATCACTCCCACCAAATTTCTATTTCTGAAAATGACAGTTTTGGTTTGCTTTTTCGTTTGGTGATTATATATTTTTTAACTTGTATAAATTAACTAAGTCATCTTTTGAAATTATAAATTTAAATAAAAACCATGGGATCATCTGTTGGGTGCCCCCAGTAGTTAGTAAGGGCAGGG